GAACCGTTACTTAGGGCCACAGAAACGTTACTTAGGGACACAGAATTGTTACTGAGGGACAGACACAGAATTGTTACTGAGGGACACAGAATTGTTACTGAGGGACACAGAACCGTTACTTAGGGCCACAGAAACGTTACTTAGGGGGACACAGAATTGTTACTCAGGGACAGACACAGAATTGTTACTTAGGGCCACAGAATCGTTACTTAGGGCTACAGAATCGTTACTTAGGGCCACAGAAACGTTACTTAGGGCCACAGAAACGTTACTTAGGGCCACAGAATTGTTACTTAGGGACAGACACAGAATTGTTACTGAGGGACACAGAATTGTTACTGAGGGCCACAGAAACGTTACTTAGGGCCACAGAAACGTTACTTAGGGCCACAGAATTGTTACTTAGGGGGACAGACACAGAATTGTTACTGAGGGACACAGAATTGTTACTGAGGGACACAGAATTGTTACTCAGGGACACAGAATTGTTACTCAGGGACACAGAATTGTTACTGAGGGACACAGAATTGTTACTCAGGGACACACAGAATTGTTACTCAGAGACAGACACAGAATTGTTACTGAGGGACACAGAATTGTTACTGAGGGACACAGAATTGTTACTGAGGGACACAGAATTGTTACTCAGGGACACAGAATCGTTGAATTAAAGAGTATGTCAGACAACATGCAGAGGAGTGGCAGAGGAGGCAATGTTTTAGGAGCAATCAGACGTGGCAGCAGAGGAAGGGGTCGAGGCAGCACTAGTCGCAGCCAGAGGCCAGTGCTCCCGTGTCATCCAGCGGTCGTGTCTCCACCGACAACCCTGCCGTCATCGATTGGTTGGCTCGGTCGTCTTCCTCTTCCCAGGTCACCTCTGACACCTACAGCCAACGTCGGTGGGTACGTCAGACACAACCGTTAGTTGGCATGGCCTGGGAGCAAGCCCACTGAAATCACGTGTCCTCTACCTGCCCCTGTCCTTTGGTGTTCCCTCACCAAGCGAAGTATCGCATGCTGTGGGCTCAGCCCCACTGTACAGTGAGGAAGAGCTAACAGAGGGCGGTCAGGAATGGGGAGACATCTGCCTCTTCAGCAGCCAGGCGAAGAAGTAGTGGCGAGGAGAGTGGCTCGGTAGCCGGTCTAGAGACAGGTCTGTCTCCTGACCCACACGCAGCCGAGGGGGCTAGTAGTGAGGCGGAGACCCTAATTGATGATGATGAGGCTGATCGCACTTGGCAGCCTCGTCGTCATCAGGCTATTGCTTCCGCATCATCAGGAGAAGAGGGTGGCAGCTTGGCAGCGAGCAAAACAGTCGGTGGGTTGCCCAGGAGGCAGCAGGGTCGCAGCAGTGTCAGTGTCAGGGAGGCAAACGGCCACGGAGTAGTAGAGCACCAGCTCCACTGCAGCCTACCACCACGGCCAGTAGTGGTGCCGGTGTGCACGGAGGAAGTAGCAGTCAGCCAGTGAGGAGTATCGGGGGCAAAGTTTCCTACTCGGCGGTGTGGCAATTTTTCGTCAAGCCGCCCGAGGAAGTAAACGTAGCCGTATGTCGACTATGTGGCCAGAAAGTCAAGCGTGGCCAGGGGGCCCATGTTGGGACTACAGCGTTGCGTCAGCATATGCAGCGTCGCCATTTGGTGGCCTGGGAAAACCATGATAAAGATACGGCGGTTCTGCCTGCCCCAGCCCCCGCTCCATCACCCGCTCCGTTACTTGCTCCGTCACCCGACGTCAATCGCCCTCTATCAGCCAGTCAAGGCTCCAACACCTCTGCTGAGGGGAGTTGTCGCTCGTTGGCATCTTCCGGTCGTTCAGATGCTCCTTCTCCTGCTACTCCTCTTCATCACGGATTCCGTCAGCAGTCTTTCTTGGAATCCGTTTCCAAGAGACAACAGTTTGCGAGCACGCACCCGACGGTGCAAAAGCTGAACGTCCTTCTGTCCAAGTTGCTGGTGCTGCAGTCCCTCCCTTTCCAAGTGGTGGACTCAGCACCTTTCCGAGAAATGATGGCTTGTGCCGCGCCGCGGTGGAGAGTGCCAAGCCGTCATTTCTTCGCCAAAAAGGCAGTGCCAGCCCTGCATTCACATGTAGAAGAGATGGTGGGCCAGTCTTTGAGCATGTCGGTCTCTGCCAAAGTGCACGGCAGCGCCGACGTGTGGAGCTGTAACTACGGTCAGGGACAGTACATGTCATTTACGGCCCACTGGGTGAACGTGGTGCCGTCACAGCCGCACCAGCAACTTGGACAGGTCACGCCGCTTTTGCCTCCACGTTTGCACGTCCTTGGTCCACAAAAGATGTCCGCCTCTACCACCTCTTCTTTCCGCCGTGTCCTCAGCCGCCCACCCCCGTGCCAAGTCCCATTACCCGACCGGCATATCACATGTGCAGGGCGCAACGGTGTCACGCTGTGCTGCACCTGGTATGCCTTGGCGAACGTAGTCACACAGGGGAGGAACTTCTCAGTGTAATGAACAGAGAAATCGACAGATGGCTGTCTCCGCGCAAACTGAAAATCGGAACCATGTTGACCGACAACGGAAAGAACATGGTGTCTGCTCTGCGTCAAGGAAGGTTGTGCCATGCGCCATGCATGGCTCACGTGTTCAATCTGGTTGTCAAGCGGTTCCTAAAATCCACCATCCCACTGCAAGACATCCTTAAAATGTCACGTAAACTTTGCATGCATTTCAGCCATTCCTACACCGCAAAGCACACCCTCCTTGAGCTGCAGCGGCAGAACGGAATTCCACAGCATCGCCTGATCTGCGACGTTGCAACAAGGTGGAATTCACCTACACATGTTAGACCGCCTTTACGAACAGCGAAAGGCCATCACCGATTTCCTGATGTTACAAGCGGATAAAGGTACTCCCCTGTGTAACTTCGATGTCAGCCATTGGCAGCTCATGCGTGACACCTGCCGCTTGCTCAGGCCCTTTGAGGAGGCCACGCTATTCGTGAGTCGGCAGGACTATGGGATGAACGACGTCATTCCTCTGTTGCACGTCCTGGAACAAATGCTGTTAACAATGGCTGGTCAGGGTGCGGTAGACGTGGCGCACAGATCTCAACGCCACATGACCCCTGTGGGGGCAGGACAGGAAGAGGAGGAGGTAGAGGAGGACATTTGTGCTCAGGAATTATTGAGTGAAATGGGTGGTTTTTCCACTCAGCGACAGGAGTGGAGGAGCAGGAGCATCTGGTAGAGGAGGAGGAGAGGAGAGGGACCCAGACGCACCGTGGCAGTATGCTGTGGAGATGGAGGCAGGGAGTCCCTCGCATTCCTTGGCACAAATGGCCCATAGCATGCTCGGTTGCTTGCGTAGCGACAGCCGAATAATAACCCATCAGACAGAGGGATGACTTTTGGCTGTCCACCTTGTTGGACCCTCGCTACCGTTCAAAAATGGTGGCCTTTTTCACACCTGCTGAGAGGGAGGCCAAAATAACGTACTATAAAAACCACCTATGTAGTCAGTTGGTCTCTGCCTTTGTGCGCCAACGTCCATCCTCAGACACTGTGGGCCCTGTGCGCTCGCGTTCCGCTGCCATGGCAGCAGGGGAGGGGTGGGGTGGTAGGAGCAGTGGCAGCTCCACCAGCAGCGGCTGCCTCAGTCTGCAGTCAATGATGAGTAGCTTTCTTCACCAGCGCAGTGAGGAAACTACTAACCAGCCGCAGCAGCAGCAGCATCAGGTGGACCTGGAGCAGGACCTCAAACAAACAGGCTTGGGCCTACTTGGACAGCACCCTGCCAACCGAGGTAGACAATCCCCTTGACTACTGGGCAACGAAACTTGACCTTTGGCCCCAACTAGCTGAATTTGCCCTTGAAAGGCTGTCATGCCCGGCCAGTAGCGTGGCATCGGAGCGCGTGTTTAGTGCGGCAGGAGGTATTGTAACTCCGCGGAGGACACGACTGTCCACCCAAAGTGTGGAGAGACTCACGTTTGTGAAAATGAATCAGGCGTGGATTAGTCTGGATTTCAAACCACCAGTTCCTGACACAACTGACTAAATCCGCCATGAATCATGCCCCAAACATGTGCCACTTTCAGGTCTCCTCACACTGCTGGTGTGTTCCATTTTTTGTCATAGGGTGCTGGCAGATTACGGGCCTCCCATAGCTGCTGCCAGGCCCCTAATCTGCCATGGGCCCCTGTACCGCCTCCTCATGCTGCTGCCAGGTCCAGAGTCTCTCATGGGTCCCTGTACGGCCTCCCATTGCTGCTGTCTCCATCGCCACACTCTGCCATGTGCCACTTTCAGGTCTCCTCACACACTGCTGGTGTTCCATTTTTTGTCATAGGGTGCTGGCAGATTACGGGCCTCCCATAGCTGCTGCCAGGCCCCTAATCTGCCATGGGCCCCTGTACCGCCTCCTCATGCTGCTGCCAGGTCCAGAGTCTCTCATGGGTCCCTGTACGGCCTCCCATTGCTGCTGTCTCCATCGCCACACTCTGCCATGTGCCACTTTCAGGTCTCCTCACACTGCTGGTGTGTTCCATTTTTTGTCATAGGGTGCTGGCAGATTACGGGCCCCATAGCTGCTGCCAGGCCCCTAATCTGCCATGGGCCCCTGTACCGCCTCCTCATGCTGCTGCCAGGTCCAGAGTCTCTCATGGGTCCCTGTACGGCCTCCCATTGCTGCTGTCTCCATCGCCACACTCTGCCATGTGCCACTTTCAGGTCTCCTCACACACTGCTGGTGTGTTCCATTTTTTTGTCATAGGGTGCTGGCAGATTACGGGCCTCCCATAGCTGCTGCCAGGCCCCTAATCTGCCATGGGCCCCTGTACCGCCTCCTCATGCTGCTGCCAGGTCCAGAGTCTCTCATGGGTCCCTGTACGGCCTCCCATTGCTGCTGTCTCCATCGCCACACTCTGCCATGTGCCACTTTCAGGTCTCCTCACACTGCTGGTGTGTTCCATTTTTTGTCATAGGGTGCTGGCAGATTACGGGCCTCCCATAGCTGCTGCCAGGCCCCTAATCTGCCATGGGCCCCTGTACCGCCTCCTCATGCTGCTGCCAGGTCCAGAGTCTCTCATGGGTCCCTGTACGGCCTCCCATTGCTGCTGTCTCCATCGCCACACTCTGCCATGTGCCACTTTCAGGTCTCCTCACACTGCTGGTGTGTTCCATTTTTTGTCATAGGGTGCTGGCAGATTACGGGCCTCCCATAGCTGCTGCCAGGCCCCTAATCTGCCATGGGCCCCTGTACCGCCTCCTCATGCTGCTGCCAGGTCCAGAGTCTCTCATGGGTCCCTGTACGGCCTCCCATTGCTGCTGTCTCCATCGCCACACTCTGCCATGTGCCACTTTTCAGGTCTCCTCACACACTGCTGGTGTGTTCCATTTTTTGTCATAGGGTGCTGGCAGATTACGGGCCTCCCATAGCTGCTGCCAGGCCCCTAATCTGCCATGGGCCCCTGTACCGCCTCCTCATGCTGCTGCCAGGTCCAGAGTCTCTCATGGGTCCCTGTACGGCCTCCCATTGCTGCTGTCTCCATCGCCACACTCTGCCATGTGCCACTTTCAGGTCTCCTCACACACTGCTGGTGTGTTCCATTTTTTGTCATAGGGTGCTGGCAGATTACGGGCCTCCCATAGCTGCTGCCAGGCCCCTAATCTGCCATGGGCCCCTGTACCGCCTCCTCATGCTGCTGCCAGGTCCAGAGTCTCTCATGGGTCCCTGTACGGCCTCCCATTGCTGCTGTCTCCATCGCCACACTCTGCCATGTGCCACTTTCAGGTCTCCTCACACTGCTGGTGTGTTCCATTTTTTGTCATAGGGTGCTGGCAGATTACGGGCCTCATAGCTGCTGCCAGGCCCCTAATCTCTGCCATGGGCCCCTGTACCGCCTCCTCATGCTGCTGCCAGGTCCAGAGTCTCTCATGGGTCCCTGTACGGCCTCCCATTGCTGCTGTCTCCATCGCCACACTCTGCCATGTGCCACTTTCAGGTCTCCTCACACACTGCTGGTGTGTGTGTTCCATTTTTTGTCATAGGGTGCTGGCAGATTACGGGCCTCCCATAGCTGCTGCCAGGCCCCTAATCTGCCATGGGCCCCTGTACCGCCTCCTCATGCTGCTGCCAGGTCCAGAGTCTCTCATGGGTCCCTGTACGGCCTCCCATTGCTGCTGTCTCCATCGCCACACTCTGCCATGTGCCACTTTCAGGTCTCCTCACACTGCTGGTGTGTTCCATTTTTTGTCATAGGGTGCTGGCAGATTACGGGCCTCCCATAGCTGCTGCCAGGCCCCTAATCTGCCATGGGCCCCTGTACCGCCTCCTCATGCATGCTGCTGCAGGTCCAGAGTGTCTCATGGGTCCTGTACGGCCTCCCATTGCTGCTGTCTCCATCGCCACACTCTGCCATGTGCCACTTTCAGGTCTCCTCACACACTGCTGGTGTGTTCCATTTTTTGTCATAGGGTGCTGGCAGATTACGGGCCTCCCATAGCTGCTGCCAGGCCCCTAATCTGCCATGGGCCCCTGTACCGCCTCCTCATGCTGCTGCCAGGTCCAGAGTCTCTCATGGGTCCCTGTACGGCCTCCCATTGCTGCTGTCTCCATCGCCACACTCTGCCATGTGCCACTTTCAGGTCTCCTCACACTGCTGGTGTGTTCCATTTTTTGTCATAGGGTGCTGGCAGATTACGGGCCTCCCATAGCTGCTGCCAGGCCCCTAATCTGCCATGGGCCCCTGTACCGCCTCCTCATGCTGCTGCCAGGTCCAGAGTCTCTCATGGGTCCCTGTACGGCCTCCCCATTGCTGCTGTCTCCATCGCCACATGCCATGTGCCACTTTCAGGTCTCCTCACACTGCTGGTGTGTTCCATTTTTTGTCATAGGGTGCTGGCAGATTACGGGCCTCCCATAGCTGCTGCCAGGCCCCTAATCTGCCATGGGCCCCTGTACCGCCTCCTCATGCTGCTGCCAGGTCCAGAGTCTCATGGGTCCCTGTACGGCCTCCCCATTGCTGCTGTCTCCATCGCCACACTCTGCCATGTGCCACTTTCAGGTCTCCTCACACTGCTGGTGTGTTCCATTTTTTGTCATAGGGTGCTGGCAGATTACGGGCCTCCCATAGCTGCTGCCAGGCCCCTAATCTGCCATGGGCCCCTGTACCGCCTCCTCATGCTGCTGCCAGGTCCAGAGTCTCTCATGGGTCCCTGTACGGCCTCCCATTGCTGCTGTCTCCATCGCCACACTCTGCCATGTGCCACTTTCAGGTCTCCTCACACTGCTGGTGTGTGTTCCATTTTTTTGTCATAGGGTGCTGGCAGATTACGGGCCTCCCATAGCTGCTGCCAGGCCCCCTAATCTGCCATGGGCCCCTGTACCGCCTCCTCATGCTGCTGCTGCCAGGTCCAGAGTCTCTCATGGGTCCCTGTACGGCCTCCCATTGCTGCTGTCTCCATCGCCACACTCTGCCATGTGCCACTTTCAGGTCTCCTCACACTGCTGGTGTGTTCCATTTTTTGTCATAGGGTGCTGGCAGATTACGGGCCTCCCATAGCTGCTGCCAGGCCCCTAATCTGCCATGGGCCCCTACCGCCTACCCCCTCCTCATGCTGCTGCCAGGTCCAGAGTCTCTCATGGGTCCCTGTACGGCCTCCCATTGCTGCTGTCTCCATCGCCACACTCTGCCATGTGCCACTTTCAGGTCTCCTCACACACTGCTGGTGTGTTCCATTTTTTGTCATAGGGTGCTGGCAGATTACGGGCCTCCCATAGCTGCTGCCAGGCCCCTAATCTGCCATGGGCCCCTGTACCGCCTCCTCATGCTGCTGCCAGGTCCAGAGTCTCTCTGGGTCTCCATCATGGGTCCCTGTACGGCCTCCCATTGCTGCTGTCTCCATCGCCACACTCTGCCATGTGCCACTTTCAGGTCTCCTCACACTGCTGCTGGTGTGTTTCCATTTTTTGTCATAGGGTGCTGGCAGATTACGGGCCTCCCATAGCTGCTGCCAGGCCCCTAATCTGCCATGGGCCCCTGTACCGCCTCCTCATGCTGCTGCCAGGTCCAGAGTCTCTCATGGGTCCCTGTACGGCCTCCCATTGCTGCTGTCTCCTCCATGCTGCTGTCACTCCACACTGCCATGCCATGTGCCACTTTCAGGTCTCCTCACACTGCTGGTGTGTTCCATTTTTTTGTCATAGGGTGCTGGCAGATTACGGGCCTCCCATAGCTGCTGCCAGGCCCCTAATCTGCCATGGGCCCCCTGTACCGCCTCCTCATGCTGCTGCCAGGTCCAGAGTCTCTCTCATGTCCCTGTACGTACGGCCTCCCATTGCTGCTGTCTCCATCGCCACACTCTGCCATGTGCCACTTTCAGGTCTCCTCACACACTGCTGGTGTGTTCCATTTTTTGTCATAGGGTGCTGGCAGATTACGGGCCTCCCATTGCTGCTGCCAGGCCCCTAATCTGCCATGGGCCCCTGTACCGCCTCCTCATGCTGCTGCTGCTGCCAGGTCCAGAGTCTCTCATGGGTCCCTGTACGGCCTCCCATTGCTGCTGTCTCCATCGCCACACTCTGCCATGTGCCACTTTCAGGTCTCCTCACACTGCTGGTGGTGTGTTCCATTTTTTGTCATAGGGTGCTGGCAGATTACGGGCCTCCCATAGCTGCTGCCAGGCCCCTAATCTGCCCATGGGCCCCTGTACCGCCTCCTCATGCTGCTGCCAGGTCCAGAGAGTCTCTCATGGGTCCCTGTACGGCCTCCCATTGCTGCTGTGTCTCCATCGCCACACTCTGCCATGTGTGCCACTTTCAGGTCTCCTCACACACTGCTGGTGTGTGTTCCATTTTTTGTCATAGGGTGCTGGCAGATTACGGGCCTCCCATAGCTGCTGCCAGGCCCCTAATCTGCCATGGGCCCCTGTACCGCCTCCTCATGCTGCTGCCAGGTCCAGAGTCTCTCATGTCTCATGGGGTCCCTGTACGGCCTCCCATTGCTGCTGTCTCCATCGCCACACTCTGCCATGTGCCACTTTCAGGTCTCCTCACACACTGCTGGTGTGTTCCATTTTTTGTCATAGGGTGCTGGCAGATTACGGGCCTCCCATAGCTGCTGCCAGGCCCCTAATCTGCCATGGGCCCCTGTACCGCCTCCTCATGCTGCTGCCAGGTCCAGAGTCTCTCATGGGTCCCTGTACGGCCTCCCATTGCTGCTGTCTCCATCGCCACACTCTCTGCCATGTGCCACTTTCAGGTCTCCTCACACACTGCTGGTGTGTTCCATTTTTTGTCATAGGGTGCTGGCAGATTACGGGCCTCCCATAGCTGCTGCCAGGCCCCTAATCTGCCATGGGCCCCTGTACCGCCTCCTCATGCTGCTGCCCAGGTCCAGAGTCTCTCATGGGTCCCTGTACGGCCCTCCCATTGCTGCTGTCTCCATCGCCACACTCTGCCATGTGCCACTTTCAGGTCTCCTCACACACTGCTGGTGTGTTCCATTTTTTTTTGTCATAGGGTGCTGGCAGATTACGGGCCCCCATAGCTGCTGCCAGGCCCCTAATCTGCCATGGGCCCCCTGTACCGCCTCCTCATGCTGCTGCCAGGTCCAGAGTCTCTCATGGGTCCCTGGGTACGGCCTCCCATTGCTGCTGTCTCCATCGCCACACTCTGCCATGTGCCACTTTCAGGTCTCCTCACACACTGCTGGTGTGTTCCATTTTTTGTCATAGGGTGCTGGCAGATTACGGGGGCCTCCCATAGCTGCTGCCAGGCCCCTAATCTGCCATGGGCCCCTGTACCGCCTCCTCATGCTGCTGCCAGGTCCAGAGTCTCTCATGGGTCCCTGTACGGCCTCCCATTGCTGCTGTCTCCATCGCCACACTCTGCCATGTGCCACTTTCAGGTCTCCTCACACTGCTGGTGTGTTCCATTTTTTGTCATAGGGTGCTGGCAGATTACGGGCCTCCCATAGCTGCTGCCAGGCCCCTAATCTGCCATGGGCCCCTATACCGCCTCCTCATGCTGCTGCCAGGTCCAGAGTCTCTCATGGGTCCCTGTACGGCCTCCCATTGCTGCTGTCTCCATCGCCACACTCTGCCATGTGCCACTTTCAGGTCTCCTCACACTGCTGGTGTGTTCCATTTTTTTGTCATAGGGTGCTGGCAGATTACGGGCCTCCCATAGCTGCTGCCAGGCCCCTAATCTGCCATGGGCCCCTGTACCGCCTCCTCATGCTGCTGCCAGGTCCAGAGTCTCTCATGGGTCCCTGTACGGCCTCCCTTTGCTGCTGTCTCTCCATCGCCACACTCTGCCATGTGCCACTTTCAGGTCTCCTCACACTGCTGCTGGTGTGTTCATTTTTTGTCATAGGGTGCTGGCAGATTACGGGCCTCCCATAGCTGCTGCCAGGCCCCTAATCTGCCATGGGCCCCTATACCGCCTCCTCATGCTGCTGCCAGGTCAGAGTCTCTCATGGGTCCCTGTACGGCCTCCCATTGCTGCTGTCTCCATCGCCACACTCTGCCATGTGCCACTTTCAGGTCTCCTCACACACTGCTGGTGTGTTCCATTTTTTGTCATAGGGTGCTGGCACATTAGGGTGCTGGCAGATTACGGGCCTCCCATAGCTGCTGCCAGGCCCCTAATCTGCCATGGGCCCCTGTACCGCCTCCTCATGCTGCTGCCATGCTGCTGCCAGGTCCAGAGTCTCTCATGTCCCTGTACGGCCTCCCATTGCTGCTGTCTCCATCATCGCCACACTCTGCCATGTGCCACTTTCAGGTCTCCTCCACACTGCTGGTGTGTTCATTTTTTGTGTCATAGGGTGCTGGCAGATTACGGGCCTCCCATAGCTGCTGCCAGGCCCCTAATCTGCCATGGGCCCCTGTACCGCCTCCTCTCATGCTGCTGCCAGGTCCACAGAGTCTCTCATGGGTCCCTGTACGGCCTCCCATTGCTGCTGTCTCCATCGCCACACTCTGCCATGTGCCACTTTTCAGGTCTCCTCACACACTGCTGGTGTGTTCCATTTTTTGACATAGGGTGCTGGCAGATTTACGGGCCTCCCATAGCTGCTGCCAGGCCCCTAATCTGCCATGGGCCCCTGTACCGCCTCCTCATGCTGCTGCCAGGTCCAGAGTCTCTCATGGGTCCCTGTACGGCCTCCCATTGCTGCTGTCTCCATCGCCACACTCTGCCATGTGCCACTTTCAGGTCTCCTCACACTGCTGGTGTGTTCCATTTTTTTTGTCATAGGGTGCTGGCAGATTACGGGCCTCCCATAGCTGCTGCCAGGCCCCTAATCTGCCATGGGCCCCTGTACCGCCTCCTCATGCTGCTGCCAGGTCCAGAGTCTCTCATGGGTCCCTGTACGGCCTCCCATTGCTGCTGTCTCCATCGCCACACTCTGCCATGTGCCACTTTCAGGTCTCCTCACACACTGCTGGTGTGTTCCATTTTTTGTCATAGGGGGTGCTGGCAGATTACGGGCCTCCCATAGCTGCTGCCCAGGCCCCTAATCTGCCATGGGCCCCTGTACCGCCTCCTCATGCTGCTGCCAGGTCCAGAGTCTCTCATGGGTCCCTGTACGGCCTCCCATTGCTGCTGTCTCCATCGCCACACTCTGCCATGTGCCACTTTCAGGTCTCCTCACACACTGCTGGTGTGTTCCATTTTTTGTCATAGGGTGCTGGCAGATTACGGGCCTCCCATAGCTGCTGCCAGGCCCCTAATCTGCCATGGGCCCCTGTACCGCCTCCTCATGCTGCTGCCAGGTCCAGAGTCTCTCATGGGTCCCTGTACGGCCTCCCATTGCTGCTGTCTCCATCGCCACACTCTGCCATGTGCCACTTTCAGGTCTCCTCACACACTGCTGGTGTGTTCCATTTTTTGTCATAGGGTGCTGGCAGATTACGGGCCTCCCATAGCTGCTGCCAGGCCCCTAATCTGCCATGGGCCCCTGTACCGCCTCCTCATGCTGCTGCCAGGTCCACAGTGTCTCATGGGTCCCTGTACGGCCTCCCATTGCTGCTGTCTCCATCGCCACACTCTGCCATGTGCCACTTTCAGGTCTCCTCACACACTGCTGGTGTGTTTCCATTTTTTGTCATAGGGTGCTGGCAGATTACGGGCCTCCCATAGCTGCTGCCAGGCCCCTAATCTGCCATGGGCCCCTGTACCGCCTCCTCATGCTGCTGCCAGGTCCAGAGTCTCTCATGGGTCCCTGTACGGCCTCCATTGCTGCTGTCTCCATCGCCACACTCTGCCATGTGCCACTTTCAGGTCTCCTCACACACTGCTGGTGTGTTCCATTTTTTTGTCATAGGGTGCTGGCAGATTACGGGCCTCCCATAGCTGCTGCCAGGCCCCTAATCTGCCATGGGCCCCTGTACCGCCTCCTCATGCTGCTGCCAGGTCCAGAGTCTCTCATGGGTCCCTGTACGGCCTCCCATTGCTGCTGTCTCCATCGCCACACACTCTGCCATGTGCCACTTTCAGGTCTCCTCACACACTGCTGGTGTGTTCCATTTTTTGTGTCATAGGGTGCTGGCAGATTACGGGCCTCCCATAGCTGCTGCCAGGCCCCTAATCTGCCATGGGCCCCTGTACCGCCTCCTCATGCTGCTGCCAGGTCCAGAGTCTCTCATGGGTCCCTGTACGGCCTCCCATTGCTGCTGTCTCCATCGCCACACTCTGCCATGTGCCACTTTCAGGTCTCCTCACACACTGCTGACGGTGTGTTCCATTTTTTGTCATAGGGTGCTGGCAGATTACGGGCCTCCCATTGCTGCTGCCAGGCCCCTAATCTGCCATGGGCCCCTGTACCGCCTCCTCATGCTGCTGCCAGGTCCAGTCTCTCTCTCATGGGTCCCTGTACGGCCTCCCATTGCTGCTGTCTCCATCGCCACACTCTGCCATGTGTGCCACTTTCAGGTCTCCTCACACACTGCTGGTGTGTTCCATTTTTTTTGTCATAGGGTGCTGGCAGATTACGGGCCTCCCATAGCTGCTGCCAGGCCCCTAATCTGCCATGGGCCCCTGTACCGCCTCCTCATGCTGCTGCCAGGTCCAGAGTCAGTGGGTCCCTGTACAGCCTCCCATTGCTGCTGTCTCCATCGCCACACTCTGCATGTGCCACTTTCAGGTCTCCACACACTGCTGGTGTGTTCCATTTTTTGTCATAGGGTGCTGGCAGATTACGGGCCTCCCATAGCTGCTGCCAGGCCCCTAATCTGCCATGGGCCCCTGTACCGCCTCCTCATGCTGCTGCCAGGTCCAGAGTCTCTCATGGGTCCTGTACGGCCTCCCATTGCTGCTGTCTCCATCGCCACACTCTGCCATGTGCCACTTTCAGGTCTCCTCACACACTGCTGGTGTGTTCCATTTTTTGTCATAGGGTGCTGGCAGATTACGGGCCTCCCATAGCTGCTGCCAGGCCCCTAATCTGCCATGGGCCCCTGTACCGCCTCCTCATGCTGCTGCCAGGTCCAGAGTCTCTCATGGGTCCCTGTACGGCCTCCCATTGCTGCTGTCTCCATCGCCACACTCTGCCATGTGCCACTTTCAGGTCTCCTCACACACTGCTGGTGTGTTCCATTTTTTGTCATAGGGTGCTGGCAGATTACGGGCCTCCCATAGCTGCTGCCAGGCCCCTAATCTGCCATGGGCCCCTGTACCGCCTCCTCCTCCTGCTGCTGCCAGGTCCAGCTGCTGCCAGTCCAGAGTGTCTGTCATGGGTCCCTGTACGGCCTCCCATTGCTGCTGTCTCCATCGCCACACTCTGCCATGTGCCACTTTCAGGTCTCCTCACACTGCTGGTGTGTTCCATTTTTTGTCATAGGGTGCTGGCAGTTACGGGCTCTCCCATAGCTGCTGCCAGGCCCCTAATCTGCCATGGGCCCCCTGTACCGCCTCCTCATGCTGCTGCCAGGTCCAGAGTCTCTCATGGGTCCCTGTACGGCCTCCCATTGCTGCTGTCTCCATCGCCACACTCTGCCATGTGCCACTTTCAGGTCTCCTCACACACTGCTGGTGTGTTCCATTTTTTGTCATAGGGTGCTGGCAGATTACGGGCCTCCCATAGCTGCTGCCAGGCCCCTAATCTGCCATGGGCCCCTGTACCGCCTCCTCATGCTGCTGCCAGGTCCAGAGTCTCTCATGGGTCCCTGTACGGCCTCCCATTGCTGCTGTCTCCATCGCCACACTCTGCCATGTGCCACTTTCAGGTCTCCTCACACACTGCTGGTGTGTTCCATTTTTTTGTCATAGGGTGCTGGCAGATTACGGGCCTCCCATAGCTGCTGCCAGGCCCCTAATCTGCCATGGGCCCCTGTACCGCTCCTCATGCTGCTGCCAGGTCCAGAGTCTCTCATGGGTCCCTGTACGGCCTCCCATTGCTGCTGTCTCCATCGCCACACTCTGCCATGTGCCACTTTCAGGTCTCCTCACACACTGCTGGTGTGTTCCATTTTTTGTCATAGGGTGCTGGCAGATTACGGGCCTCCCATAGCTGCTGCCAGGCCCCTAATCTGCCATGGGCCCCTGTACCGCCTCCTCATGCTGCTGCCAGGTCCAGAGTCTCTCATGGGTCCCTGTACGGCCTCCCATTGCTGCTGTCTCCATCGCCACACTCTGCCATGTGCCACTTTCAGGTCTCCTCACTCACACTGCTGGTGTGTTCCATTTTTTGTCATAGGGTGCTGGCAGATTACGGGCCATCGCCACACTCTGCCATGTGCCACTTTCAGGTCTCCTCACACACTGCTGGTGTGTTCCATTTTTTGTCATAGGGTGCTGGCAGATTACGGGCCTCCCATAGCTGCTGCCAGGCCCGTAATCTGCCATGGGCCCCCCGTACCGCCTCCTCATGCTGCTGCCAGGTCCAGAGTCCCCTGTCATGGGTGGCATCCCTGTACAGATGCTCCCATTGCTGCTGTCTCCATCGCCACACTCTGCCATGTGCCACTTTCAGGTCCATCCACTGACTGGTGTGCAGAAGCACACTGCTGGTGTGTACGGGCCTCATTGCTGCTGCCAGGCCCTAATGCCATGGGCCCCTGATACGGCCTCCTCATGCTGCTGCCAGGCCCGTAATCTGCCATGGGCCCCTGTACCCCATTGCTGCCTCCTCATGCTGCTGCCAGGTCCAGAGTCTGTCATGGGTCCCTGTACGGCCCATTGCTGCTGTCTCCATCGCCTACACTCTGCCATGTGCCACTTTCAGGTCTCCTCACACTGCTGGTGGGTTCCATTTTTTGTCATAGGGTGCTGTATGGCCTCCATTGCTGCTGCCTCCTCCACCGCCACACTGTGGCTCCACACTCTGGTGTGTTCCATTTTTTGTCATAGGGTGCTGCCCAATTAGGGCCCCCATAGCTGTGCCAGGCCCCTATTCTAAGGGCCCCTGTACGGCACTCATCTGCATGTCTGCTGACCAGACACAGTAGTCTCTCTCTTCCCTGTACGGCCTCCATTGCTGCTGTCTCCATCGCCACAGTCTGCCATGTGCCTAATATCAGGTCTCCTCTGACACTGCTGGTGTGTTCCATTTTTTTCATAGGGTGCTTAAAGATTCGGGCCTCCCCATATAGTTCTGCTGCCAGGCCCCTAATCTTTCCCCTGTAATTCCGCCGAATCAGTGCGAATCCAAGTCTCTCATGGGTCCCTGTACGGCCTCCCATTGCTGCTAGTCTCCATCGCCAACTCTGCCATGCCACTAGAAATTTTCCTCACACATTGCTGGTGTGTTCCATTTTTTTTGTCATAGGGTGGGGGCAGATTACGGGCCTCCATAGCTGCTGCCAGGCCCCTAATTTGCCATGGGCCCCTGTACCGCCTCCTCATGCTGCTGCCAGGTCCAGAGTAGTCTCATGGGTCCCTGTACGGCCTCCCATTGCTGCTGTCTCCCATCGCCACAATCTGCCATGTGCCACTTTCAGATCTCCTCACACACTGCTGGTGTGTTCCAATATTTTTTGTCATAGGCTGCTGGCAGATTACGGGCCTCCCCATTGCTGCTGCCAGGCCCGTAATGGCATTTTTCTGCACTGGGCCCCCGTACCGACTCCTCATGCTGCAGCCAGGCCCAGTATTCTGTCATCCCCTGTTGTGCCCCATTCGGCATATTCCCGCTCGTTCAGATGAGGTCCTTTTCTCCTGGCCCCCCCCCGTACTCCTCTTCACGGATTCCGTCAGCAGACATGTTGCTTTCACTCCAGTTTGCAAGAGACAACGGCACCACAAGTCGCACCACAGAGAAGTGGATAAAGCTAACGAGCGCTCCTGTGCGTTAAGTGGCTGCTGGCAGGCTCGTAATCTGGTCATGCGCCCCTGTACCGCCTCCACATGCTGCTGCCAGGTCCGTAATCTGTCATGGGCCCCTGTACCAAACCTGCTCCTCAAACTGCTGCCAGGTCCAGATGTGTCATGGGTCCCTGTACGGCCTCTCATTGCTGCTATCTCCATCGCCACAATTAGCATATATGCAGTCTCCTCAATAAACTTGTGCAAGGTTGACTTTTTGTCATAGTGTTTAATATATGCACTCACCATTGAAAGCGCATAAACCGCCGCACTGTGAGTTGTCAGACCACTCCTGGTCCCCCAGAAAGGTTGCACCTATATGGATCATCTGGCAAGCTGTCACTCTGTCACTCCTTAACCAGCAGGGGGCACTCCCTGACATCCAAAGAACCCCACAGAGATAATCCAGGCTTATACCCAGGGCACTTTCATGCAGTATCCACCTTGAGAGAGGGGGGGCTTGATCAAGAAGCCCACCCCAAAAAACACTGATAGTGTAGTAAGTTCCAACCAATAGTTCTTTATTAAAGATGAAATGTACAAAGTAACTCACAGAGTATCCAGATATAAAGATGGCCGCCGGCCTTGTCCACTAGGTACGGAACGGCGTGACGTCACCGGCTAGGCTCCACCCTTTTAAACCTAAGGGTGGCAGCCTAGCCGGTCGACGTCACGCCGTTTTTCCGTACCTCGTGGAATCAGTCGAATCGGCCATCTTTATATCTGGATCACTCTAGTGAGTACAAGTACATTTCATCTTTAATAAAGAAAATATTGGTTGGAACTATTTTACACTATCAGTGTTTTTTGGGGTGGGCTTCTTGATCAAGCCCCCCCTCTCTCAAGGCCCATACTGCATGAAAGTGCCCCTGGGTATAAGCCTGGATTATCTCTGTGGGGTTCTTTGGATGTCGGGAGTCCCCACTGCTGGTTAAGGAGTGACAGAGTGACAGCTTGCCAGATGATCCATATAGGTGCAACTTTCTGGGACCAGGAAGTGGTATGACAACATCACACTGGCATTTTATGCGCTTTCTGGTGAGTGCATAATATTACCAAAACTTCACACAGCACGGAGTTCATCTGTCTTGCACAAGTTTATTGGGACTACCAGCATATATGCTATGAGGACACTTATAAATCACGACTAAACTAGTAGTCATCACACATTTTTCTTTATGTTTTACTGCAGGTTTCTTATTGGTAGGCACCATGTAATTCACCACAGAGAAGTGCAAAGCACCATGCTGCTGTGTGGAGACATGAATGAAGTGTCACTTTTTGCACGTCAAATATAGTTAACAAGAAAAAAAAGAGGGAAAAAAGATCAGATCCCCTGCTTATTGGAGCTGAGCGGACGGATGACACAACTGTGTCTGTTCTGCATAAACTGAGCGGACACAGATGTGTCATCCGCCTGCTCTGCTTCATGGACAGCCAGGAGTAAATGGAATCTGCTGCCTGTTTACACCCTACTACCTCTGATCCGCTTCACTTAAACAGAAAAGGACGGAGTCCTCTATCATTTTTTTAGCAGGCCAGATCGGATCCGGAGGTAGATCTGTCCATGAGGATGCATGGAACTTCTGATCAGGTCTTGCTGAAAAACTGATAGTTGGACCTGATCGGAACATCTAGCTGAAAGGGACCTTTGTGTAAAAATCTTTGTTTTACATGTATTCAGCATGGTCACTTTATTGCTTAGGGCAGGGCTCCACAAATCCCAGGTGTCAGGTCGCCATGGATTCACACACTGCCTCCAACTCACTTTAAAACAAAGTCGTGTCCCATTGACTTCAATGCAAAATTGTGTCCCAGTGACTTCAATGCAAATCCGCCTCCCTTTGACTTCAATGTGAAATCGCCTCCTGTTGACTTCAATGCTAAATCACCTCACACTGACTTCAATGCAAAAAACACCTCCTATTGACTTCAATGCAAAAAACTTCTGTCAATTGCAATCCTTTGTGAACACTGATCTCCGCAGACGACTCTACTCTTGTGAGTCTGGAACGCACCTCTACATACTTACACAGGATCTTTTTTGTAATTCACACCTGGGTATGGGATCGCGGAAGTATCACCGTGATCGCAAAATGTAGGTTCGGGTGCCATTATTTTCAATGGCACATAAAACGCGGTGTGGTTTTGGCCATGATTGGCGCACAGCAAATCGCATGCGTAAAGCTTGTCGCCGAAAAGTGCAAACAAAAAAAAAGCTTAGACTTGTTATGTCTTTGACAATATGGATACAAGAATCCACACTTTGTCAAGTTTTTAATTGCTGGTTCCCATCTATTTGTCCTGGCAACCATTATCACTGAGACAGAATGTTGGGGGGCATCCAAACATTTTGTGTTTTCATCAGGGCAAAAAGCGAGGGAAATCCTCCATGGTAAAAGCTGTTCTTATAACAGCTCTCTAAGATGCGAATACTATTCACTTTGGATAAATTTCCTCCCATTTCTTGTTGCATCTCCAGGAAGGGAAGGGAAATCTCCCCAGCGGTACAAAGACAACAAAAATTAACTTGATAAGGCATTTAATCTTTCCACACTCTAGATAAAAGAAAAATGGCTTTATACACTTCAAGGAAAAATTCTAACTTTTTTTCTTTATTTCTATAATATTTTTAAAACCTCTATTATTCTAAAATATCTAAGCTGAAATGACAAAAATCCCACTACAGAGGGGGTTTTCTGTGATCAAAGGTACATATACTTGCTTTACAGCTATTCATTATTTTTTCTTACTCATACTCTCACAGTTATCATGATGCTGAACACATAAGCTCAAATCAGGTAAAACATGTAGAGAATGGGCGCCTTTAATGTGGATCTTTTCTATTTTAATATTTTTATGTTAAAACCAAATTGAGAACAGAATGAGATATTAGCTCAGACCTAGGCAATTCCTGATTAAAAATCATTGCTGTGTATGGAATGAAGAGGGAGTGACCAGTTTGCTGACATTAGAGGCCTTTACTTTAGAGACAAAGACTAGGGTTGGCAAGGCTCCAGGTCCAAAATGTGGAGCTAGTATTGTAGCCTGGAGCCAGAGTGAGCTTGTCATTTCTCATTGCTTCTCATAATACTGTGTATCATATGGATGTCGCACATTTACAACAAACAGATGCCAGTATTCAGTTAGTAAAACAATGGCTGACTCTGTAATTTTGGAATTTGTATTTTATTTACTGAATCATAGTTGGCTGTAAATTCTTTTCAAGGAAAAATCATAACTTTTTTTTCTTTACTTCTATAATACTGTATATACTGTGTATACAGTGTGTGTGTATATATATATATATATATATATATATATATATATATATATATATATATATATATACAGGGTACTGTGTTCAAACGTTATAGGCAGTTGTGAAAAAATGCTGTAAATTAAGAATGGAAGGTAAATGAACAGAAGAGACATCCAAAACAATTCAATATTTGGTGTGACTATCCTTTGGCTTCAAACCAGCAGCATCAATTTGTCTATGTACACATAGTGCTCAAGCACACAGTTTTTAACCACTTCATGTCCGAATACTTTTACCCCCTTCCTGTCCAGGCCAATTTTCAGCTTTCAGCGCTGTCATACTTTGAATGACAATTGCGCGGTCATGCAACACTGTACCCATATGAATTTTTTAGAATTTTTTTGAGACAGATAAAACTTTATTTTGGTGGTATTTATTTACCACTGGGATTTTTATTTTTTTTTTGTTATATAAATGAAAAAGTCCCCAAATTTTGAAAAAAAGTGTTTTTCTTATAAAATTTTGCAAATAAATAATCTTTCTTCATAAATCTTGGACAAAATGTATTTAGTTATCTTTTTAGTAGAAAAAAAAAAATAACCCAAATTAGTTTATAACCAACAATTATAATTTTTCAAAACATTTTTTTACATTTTAATTTTATTTTTTAATATTATTATGTATGGCTACTTGTGGGGGGTGATGAAGATCTTTTTTTTTACACTGATTGCTTTTACACCCATAAAGGCTGTAAAAGCAATCACTTCTCCTTCTCTCTGGCTGCATTCTTGCAACCATTGAGAAATACTGTGTGAGCTGTGATTGGTCACAGCTTGTCACATGTTGTAAATAGCCTTGTACCATGTGATCTCTGTGATCATTCACAGATTTCACCCGTAGTAAGCAATGATGTCAGAAGTGACATCTTGCTTACTCCTATTCATGTGATCACTGATTGGCCAATCAGTGATAACATGATCGGGACCTCACACAGAGGTGCCGTACAGCGATCGGTGTTCTGCTGTGTCCTCCGGATCGCGGTGCCATGCGCACAGTCCAAAATGGCAGGCGCCATTTATGAACGTCAACCCACCCCTGCACTGCCACCGTCCGGCCATTTATATACATGGGCCGGACGGGAAGTGGTTAAAGGAACTCGGCAGGTAGGTTGTTCCAGACATCTTGGAGAACTAATCACAGATCTATGGATGTAGGTTGCCTCAAAGGGATTTGTGGGAGCCAAACCATTACTTCCAGGACCATTACTTCCAGGTTCTTCCATTGATTCTAACCAAATCCCCAACTCCATTTGCAGAAATGTTGCCTGCAGACACTCATTATTGTATCGCTCTACAGTCGCTCAGTGAACAAACAGCAGGCTAATCCATTTTGCTGAGATTTCATTGCAGCAACTCAAAATGATACTCAGTAGTTTGTATGGCTCCCATGTGCTTGTATGCATGCCTGACAATGTCGGGGCATGCTCCTAAAGAGATGACGGATGGTGTCCTGGGGTATTCCTCCCAGATCTAGACCAGGGCATTACTGAGCTCCTGGACAGTCTGAGGTGCAACCTGGTGGCGTCGGATGGACCGAAACATGATATCCCAGAAGTGGTCTATTGGATTTAGGTCAGGTGAGTGTGTGGGACATTCAATGGTATCAAATCTTTCATCCTCCAGGAACTGCCGGCATACTCTTGACACATGAGGCCGGGCATTGTCGTGCACCAGGAGGAACCCAGGACCTACTGCACCAGCGTAGGGTCTGACAATGGGTCCAAGGATTTCATCCCAATACCTAATGGCACGCAGGGTGCCATTGTCTAGCCTGTAGAGGTCTGTGCTTCCCTCGATGGATATGCCTCCCCAGACCATCACTGAGCCACCACCAAAACGGTCATACTGAACGATGTTACAGGCAACATAACGTTCTCAGCAGCTTCTCCAGACCCTTTCACATCTGTCACATGTGCTCAGAGTGAACCTGCTTTCATCTGTGAAATGCACAGGGCGTCAGTGGCAGACCTGCCAATTCTGGTGTTCAATGGCAAATGCCAATCAAGCTATATGGTGCCGGGCAGTGAGCACAGAGCCCACTAGAGGATGTCGGGTCCTCAGGCCACCCTCATGAAGTCTGTTTCTGATTGTTTGGTCAGAGACACTCACACTAGTGGCCTGCTGGAGGTTATTTTGTAGGACTCTGGCAGTGTTCATCCTGTTCCTCTTTGCACAAAGGTGCAGATACCAGTCCTGCTGATTGGTTAAGGACCTTCTGCAGCCCTGTCCAGCTCTCCTAGAGTAAGTGCCTGTCTCCTGGAATCTCCTCCATGCTCTTGAGACTGTGCTGGGAGACACAGCAAACCTTCTGGCAATGGCACGTAATTATGTGCCATCCTGTGGAGGAGTTGGACTGCCTGCGCAACCTCTAGTTGAAAACAGAAAAGATGAGTAGGGAAAAAAAAAAACATTCCAGTTTTGGGGTTGGTCTCATTGTTGCCCATCTAGTGCACCTGTTGTTAACTTCATTAACACCAAAGCAGTTGAAGTTAGGGAATTTAGATTGTACGCCCCTTGAGGGTTAGGGACTGATGTGAATGTACAATATATATGTAAAGCGCTGCATAAATTGACGGCGCTATATCAGGACCTAAATAAATAAATAACCCCCTCTGCTACTTAACTGACCAGATCAATATCCCAGGAGTTTTAATTGACTTGATGCTATACTCTGAATTAAAAGTGTTCCTTTATTTTTTTTGATCAATATATATATATATATATATATATATAGTACATGAGAAAGGATTCCAAGAAGGTTTGCTAAAGCAAGAGAACAGCAGAAGTTGTTCCTTTCAGGTACATCTACCATAGACCGGGACATCTGATAAGAGATAAGTCACTGCTTTGACTTGTGTATGTAAACTTCAGCTTGAAATAATGAGCTCTATAAACAATTGAAAAAAGAAAAAAAAGTCCCATCTGCTTGCTTAACTGATAAAATATATACCATTCATATGCAATATCTCATATTCACATGGCTAAAAAAAATTTATAGACATTACTATATTAAAAAAAAGGATTGTTTAGGTTCTTTAAACAAAACATATACACAAAACCATGCTATATTTCATGTAAATAGCTCTGTGTATGTTTTCTGTAAATTGCTCTGTGCTTTAAATGTGATGTCCTTTAAAAACTCTGTAGATAGTATCATGAGACTTTGAGAAAAGATTTCATTCTGCACTATTGCACAGAGACAAAGCACTTGTTGTATAGTGAGATAACTCCAAACAAAGCACTGATTCATGAGTACCATGAAGAGGAAATATTTATTTGGAAAGTAGTTTTACTTTCCTGAAGATGTTTGATGAAGAGTAATTGACTGGAAAAATCTGCACTTAACTAGGTTGTTTATAATTATTTAGTCATTATGCAATCTGTAGAAGATGTTGTCTGCTATTTTCCACGATATCACATTGTTTTTATAAATAAAGGATAACTACAAGATACAGGTGATGCCCATAGCTGCAAAGCTTTTGACCATAGGAAAAGTCTGGCACTGTTGGCAACCCAGAAAGTTTGCTTTTAGAAACATTCATGTGTTAAGCCAAGTGAGCTTAGATCAATACGCACTTTAAACATCAGTGATTCGTAGCTATCACTGACCATGCTTGAAATCCAGACCACTAGACTGTGCGAAAGCAGTGGCCTGGATCTCCAGCTGTCCCACGTGTTTCCTGCGTAGTGCTCCAATTATGAATACTTGTGTTCCTTGAGCGGTGTTGGAGCACAGTGCAGGGGGTGGTGGGACCACTGGAGATCCAGACCACTGCTCTCACACCATGCAATGGTCCAGATCCAAAGCATGCTACCAGGGAGGTTCAGATAAGGATTGGGCTGGAGTAGTAATAAAGGAAAAGTAGGAGAAATACTTTTGGTTTTATGCAGCCTGGTGTTAAACATCAAAAAGACAAATACTTTTGGTGTTATGCAGCCTGATGTTAAACATAAAAGCTCCAACTGGGCTTTATGATGGAGGTTCCTGAGTTTACTTTTATAATTGAGATCTTCATAAATCTGGTTGACATCTTTGCCAGAACAGCCCTCACCCCCTTGTAAAATGCAACTCTTCTGAAAACTGTTGCAACAGATTGGACTACCTATACTTGACTGATTTCATAGAAGTTTTTTTTTATGTAAAAAATGTGACAAGGCACTGTCATGTGGCTCACAAAGAAGCAGAAATAATGAAGCCAGCAGGGAATGGGGTTATTAGGAATGCTTTAACTTACATGGGATCTGCACATTTTCATAATTTCAGACATTGCTTGAATGTAAATGAAGAACAGAACTGTCCAGGACAAAATGTGCACACAACAGAGACTTCAATAAATTGCTGTAAGAAGCAGTCACCCCAGAGATCCACTATGATGAAGTGACAAAACCTCCATAATTAATCAGGAGGCTATATAAATCATGTACACTGGATAGGCTTCCGCTTTAAAATATCATTATTATATAAAGAATACTTTATATAATGAGCCTTCTAGGACTAAAAAAATATTTTATCTTGAAAGAACCAAAAGAAATATATCTACAGTTATGCCACTGTAAAGATATTAAAAAGCTTATTATCAAAACAAAGCCATAAAACACAATGTCCCTTACCCCAGATTTCTAGGAAAGAAAGAAGGAAATAAGGAAGGGCTTCCTTTATCTTTCAATATTTAAAGGAAAACTCCTCTATTGACAAAATTATCACAGCATATAAAATTGCTACACAAGCCATTTAAATTGTAATGTCCCTATTAGATGGTAAGCTCCCAGGAGCAGGGCCCTTGTAACCATCTTGTATTGAATTGTATCATTGCTGTATTTCTCCCGTTATATTGTAAAGAACTGAGCAAACTGTTGGTGCTATATAAATCCTGTATAATAATAATGTTAAAAAACATTAATTATGCTGTCCTCCCTGCAGTATTAAATTTGGCCACTAGATAAAGCGAGGAATAAATGTACTGTTTTGCTTTAAAGCAAAGTTCCACCCAAAAGTGGAAGCTCTGCTTATCTGCCTCCCCCCCCCCCCCCCCCCCCCCCTTTCTGCTGACACATTTGGCACAATTTGGGTAGGAGTGGGTATCTGGTTTTGACAGGTACCCGCTTCCACTTCTTGCCTGAGTTCGCTGCAGCGAACTGAGCCGGAAGTTTGGCCCCCCTCCTTCATCTCCTAGCCTTCTGGGACACCTGCATGCACAGTAGCAGTCCGGCTGTGAAGCCACTAGGCAAGTCAAGATGGTGGCGCCAGCACCCGATAGCCAGTTGAAGAATTGGCTCAGAGTGGGGACACTGCTGGATCCCTGGACAGGTATGTTCCTTAATATTAAAAGTAAGCAGCTACAGTATTTGTACTGTACAGAACTCTGCTTTAATAAAAATTCCTATTAGCCCTCATTCTGAGAAAAGGAAACTGGTGCATCCTGGGAGCTCAGACTCCATGTTAAAGTGATACTAAACCCGTGACCCTGCATTCACTATATCTGGTCCCCAACAGTACACAGAACATGGAAGTGCAATTAGTTTAGTAAATATAAACTGCTGCATACCTTTTCTCATCAACAGTTAGACCAGTCTTGTTAGAACACTGGTTAAAGCTTGTAGGAGGAGTTTTCTCTAGGAGGATGGAAGGATGGAAATCCCCTGACCTCTGTCTGGACAGTGCTGATTGGCCTTGTGCTGGTCACATGCACTCTTCCAAGAAAAAAAAAACCTCTCTAGCAATACACAACAAACTGAGCATGTGCATGGGGCTAAGGGTTCAGTTTGTATCAGTTGGTCATTTCAACAAGAAGAGGCAGAGAAGAAAGGATCAAACATCCTTTTTACACAATGCAGAGGGTTAACTCCTTAGGTTCTACAGCTAGTATAACAAGCATGCTTTACTGCGTATACAAACTGATATTACTGTTGTGGGTTTAGGAACACTTTAAGAACTGACAGAGAGGAAACCAACCATCACCTGCAGCATGAGTGGTGGACTAAATTTACATCACCTACAGGCAACATTGCTAGTGAGCATGAACATATTATAACTGCTGCATAGTTATTTCATTGTGTTTTTTTTATGTTTCATATATTGATTG